TCAGCAGGAGTGTCATTATGAGCTTGTGGCCCCCTTGGCTCTCATGTTTGAGTCCACACTCCTGCAGGTAATGTGTCATGGTTATGTGAATAACATGTTATTCAAGAACAAATTTACCAAAGCCTTGATAATCAGAAACTAAGAATTATTTATCTAATTTTACTTCTGGAATTTATTTGTGTGTTTTTTGTAATTTTTCTTGTTAGGATTCAGAGTTAATGTTGAAGACAGGGAAACAGGATTTGCCATTTGAGTGCACCTATTAGCAAATATTAAATGCTTCTCAGTGTTAATTCACACAAATAATTCATGCAAATATCAGTGAGTGACACAACTTATTTGTTGTCTCCATCTAACAATTGATTAAAAAATGTATAAAAAGCAATTCATATATACAGTAGCTCAAATACACGATGTTTTATTGTTTTTATAAATGTTTTCTTTTTTTCTATTTCTGGCAAAAATATAATGGTGATACAACTATCCTGATATTATAATGAAAGAAAAAGCCTCATTGAAAGAATGGAAGTTCCTGAGCCTTATTACCTTATTAAAACCTTAAGTAATTTGTCTAAATCTTTCATCAATTTCACTGCTTGTATATATAATATCTGATTAAAATTAAATTGTGATATTTAAATGTGTGAAGTTTTCATCTTAATTTTAGTTATTTATTGAAGCCTGGAAATAAACAAAGCTTTAGGGTTTTGAAAAATGTAAAACAAAGAAACCTTACATAAAATGAAGGAGAAATATTTACACTTAAGCTTTGTTTTACAGTAATTATATTATGAAGTTCAGAAATTCATGTACATTTTCAGATATGCATTTAAATTTGTAAAGCATAATTTAGTATTAAGTTAGAAAAATTAAAAGCATTTTTACTAGTAGACTTTTTGACCCCACAAAAATAGCTTTAAGCCTCTCAGTTTTAGCCTTCTCATTTATCTAGAAGCTGATATTAAAGAAATTGCTTGTGCCTGTTTTCTCTTTGTAGATGCCTCTTTGTCCATCTGATGGAGAGATACTGACAGAAGCTTGTGAAGTGTTTCATGGCTACCTAGCATGGCCTGAACCCTACTGTAGTGTGTGTCGTAACCTGCTCTCCACTTTACATCAAGAGCTTAGAGCTCCAGGTAGCACATTGACATCAATAAACACAAGATAAACTTTTATCAGTCACCATCATGCAGCTTAACACCTTATTAAAGACCAGTTTGTTAACCTAAAGGCCTTTCCACACTGAACGCGATGCGAATCGCCGACAAACGGTGCTTTCACACCAAACGCGAAACGATTGTTCGCCTTCTGCTAATTCACGCCTGCACGCTAGGTGGCGCCGACCAACAATGCATTTTTCATCAGATATGTATCTCGTAAATGGATTTAACATCATCTGCCGCTCAATATACAGCATTAAATTAAGATAAACAAGGTTCTACACCAGAAACAAACTATCTATATTGCTTACAAGAATAGGCTACATCCTAAAATATAATTAGCATCAAGCTAAACATAAAAGCATCAACATAAAAGTACAATTAGCATCAAGCTACATGTGAAAATGTATGTAATTATTAATGTATTTGCTTTAAACCATTACTTGTAATAACTTCCAGTTGTGATCTATAGTTCATTTTGATTAAAATGCAGACACATGAACTCTTTGTATGTTTAATAACGCTACACTGCTAATATTTGTCATAAACATCCTTTATTGCTATAAAAATACCATGAACTGCATACAAAACACATACAGAAAATATGTCGTCATAATCATATGTCTATTTGCTTTTATATTTCATGTGTAGAAAAAGAGTGAACGCGCTCTGACTCATAACATTCGCGCACATGGAAAAAAAACGGACGGTGCACTACAGATCACATAATTCAGTGGGCAATTAAGAGAATTCTGTATAAAGAACATGTGAGAATAAATCTGTTCTCAAATACCAACGATAACAAGAACTCAGCATCCACTCTTCTCTTATTGGCTCTTATCCGGGATGCTCTTCTTCTGTGTTTGTCTACACTGGTTTTCGAAACAGCACAACCACTGTTGCCTTTTGTGCAGTGTTGCCAGATTGGAAATGTCCAAGTATCGTACCAGAAGTTCAAAATTATCGAATTTGGAAGAAAATGATCGTACACGAGTCAAACGTTCAGAATACAGCTATTTATCTAGGTGTTACAGCTATTTATCCTTTTCAGCACTCATTTTCAATACTTTATTGCTAAACTATCGACCTCAGCTTTGAAAAAAAAAAAAACTGACCTAAGTGCGGCAGGAACGTTAACTTGTGCTCGTGAGAGAGAGTCATTCTCCACGATGATTGGTCGAGAAGATGTGAGATGAGATGAAAGACATGCGTAACACGTTCAAGTCTCCTCACAATCATGAAGGTGCACGTACAGTAGGACCCACACAGCTAGATCAAGGAGTATAGAAGCCCTGTGATTACAACAACTATCATTTGGTGTCACAAAATTCTGAAATTATCGTACATTATGGTATTATTGATCATACATCGTACAGAGGTCAAAATTATGGTACAAATACGATAATTATCGTACGTCTGGCAACACTGCTTTTGTGCAACAGCAGCTGCTCCGGTCACGTGATCCTAGCTCAAATCTTATTGGACAGCCCGTGTTTTTGCTTTGCGAAACTGAAAAGATTCGTCGGACTGGTTCGAAAAAAAACATTCGCATTTTCGGTGTGCGAATGTTCGCGGTCTATGTGGAAGCATTCCAGCGCGTCATCGCGTCCGTTATTCGTTTCGCTTTTTCGCGCTCAGTGTGGAAAGGCCTTTAGTCCCAATCTACTAATTCATACTATTAAAAAGAAAAGTGCAGTGACATACTATTTTTCAGTGGTTTCAGGAAGCATTTCAGCTGTTTTTCAAAATAAGTGCTACACTTGTTTATCAGTTTTAAGAGCACTAGTAGTAACTTAAAGATTACTTAACTTACACTCTAACGTCAGTGCATTCACTAAGATTTTTTGTTACATAATGTTGAAATCTGATGAAATAATGTTCTTGTGTGCATTTGCTTGTATCAGGGATTTCATACTACAGGCTGGTAAGAGAGGAACAAGGCCTTGCCACCTCCAGTCAGCGTTCTAAGATCATGTGAGTGTGTTTCCACAGAAGCAGGAGGAAATCCTGTTGTGTCAGTTATTGCTCAGCCCTTTGTGGTTGCAGTCTTCACCTCTCGCTTCCTGTGTCAATTCTTGGATATTCAGAATTTGTCTTATTATAAGATTACTTCTGTGTGAAATTTTATATGACATATAATAATAATACAATATTTAGCCCAGTGTTTAATTAACAAATTTTAATGTTTGATTATAAGGATTTTTTTGTTAATTTTACCCAATAAGTCAAAAGTAATTAATATAAAAAATTAATACGAAATAATAAGAAATGTTTCTTGAGCACCAATAATAGAATGATTTCTGAAGAACCGTGTGACGCTGAAAACTGGAGTAATTCTAAATTCAGCTTTGCCATCACAGGAATGAAATTTTAATAATATAAGTATAAATATATTTAATAATATATTTGAAAATATGTGACCCTGGACCACAAAACCAGTCATAAGGGTCAATGTTTTGAAATTGAGATTTATACATGCTGAATAAATGTATACAAGCTGAATAAATAAGCTTTCCATTGATCTATGGTTTGTTAGGGTAGGACAATATTTGGCTGAGATACAACTATTTGAAAATCTGGAATCTGAGGGTGCAAAAAAACAAATTTTATTTGAGAAAATCACCTTTAAAGTTGTCCAAATGAAGTTCTTAGCAATGCATATTACTAATCAAAAATTAAAGGGTTAGTTCACCCAAAAATGAAAATTCTGTCATTAATTACTCACCCTCGTGTTGTTCGAAACCCGTAAGACCTTCGTTCATCTTCGAAACCCAATTTAAGATATTTTTGATGAAATATGAGGGCTCTCTGACCCTCCCATAGACAGCAAGGTAACTACCACGTTCAAGGTCATGCCGGATCTGGGTCAGCGCCGGCACCGCCACATGCTCGCGTCATGGTACTGTCGTGAACGCGCGTCCAAAGTGACGCAGTAGAGACGAAAATGTGGAATAAAGTCGTTATTTTTGTTTTCTTTGCGCAAAAAAAGTATTCTCGTAGCTTCGTAACTTTACAGTTGAACCACTGATGTCACACGGACTACTTTGTCGGTCATCTTGGTACTTTTCTGGACCTTGAAATGTGGTAGTTCCCTTGCTGTCTATGGGAGGGTCAGAGAGCCCTCAGATTTCATCAAAAATATCTTAAATTGTGTTCCGAAGATGAACAAAGGTCTTACGGGTTTGGAACAACACGAGGGTGAGTAATTAATGACAATTTTCATTTTTGGGTGAACTAACACTTTAAGTTATTTATGGTAGGAAATTTACAAAATATCTTCATGGAACATGATCTCTACTTAATATCCTAATGATTTTTGGCATAAAAGAAAAATCAATAATTTTGACCCATACAATGTATTTTTGAATATTGCTACAAATATTGCTACTATTGCTACCCGTGCGACTTATGACTGGTTTTGTGGTCCAGGGTCACATATATTAAAATATAAAATGGTTATTTTAAATTCTAATAATATCTCACAACATTGCCATTTTTACTGTCTTTTTGGTGAGCATTTTTTTAAATGGTAGTGTAAATCAGAGATCTTGCAAAATAACTTGCAAATAACAGATGGTACTAAAGTCTACATGACACTGGCCCTACAGGACTGGAGTTTGAAACCCTGGTGTAAATAATACCATGGTATTACCACAGTACTATTTTTTTTTTTATCATGGCTGGCCATTTCAATTTAGCACAGCCCTCCCTACAATCTGTCCAGGATAAACATCTGCCCCATAATATAGAATATATTGAATAAATCGAATATACGAATAAATCGCATACACTATAAAATAACAAATGCAAACTTCTTCTGTGGACAAAATCGATGTGTTTCATCTGTTTCTGCTACACTACAGTGACATTTTCTGATGTTTTCTCTGTTGCAGTACGGTGTTGTTGATGAACCCGGCTGAGGTGCCTGCTGAGTTCCTGTCTTTGGCAGAGCAGCTCAGTGGAGCAGAGGTCTCGCAGAGAGAGAGCAGCATTACACTCATTAAACACAGCTACCAGGCAGTGCTTGGAACTAAATACCCACTACAGACCATCAGCGGTGCTCTACAGGTACACCACACTGTTCCATGGCACATGAGATAATGTTTCCTGTTTTAATGTGCTCCAAACTTAAGTTGATGCAGAGTGTAGGTGCGTCAGACTGTGACTGAGTATGTGTGAATGTGTGGGCATATCACTTTGTGGGTGTCAGGAAGCATGTGATCTGATTGGGGAGAGGGGGTGATAACTAAATGTGTGATCAAAATTACTCATATGTGGTTTGGTGGGTGTCTAATGGGGAAGAAATAGATGGATTGACTGGGTGTAATGAAGAGAGCTTCTTATAATAGTTTTGCTTGCAAATGGTAAAATTAATTATAATTTTGTGAGATTACTTGGAAGTTAAAATCAAGGTTGACTTCATTTGAAACACAGCTAAGCATTCATTGAATTCTGACTCTGAGTGACTTGCAACAACCGAAGAGGTTACAGTACATGACTAAGTTGGTTCCTTTTTAGTGCCTGAGTGATGATGAGTTGGCACAGATCCTGTCCTCAGTGAGTGACCTTCTAGAGTCTGCAGCAGCCATGACGGATATAGCTAAAGCTCGAGAACATGTGAGGGGTGGTCTGGAGGCACTGCGAGAAAAACTTGCCATACCAGCCTCCAATGGCAAGACTTCAAATGGTATAGTCTCAGTTTCTACTTATAGCCCACCTCACAAACCCTAAAAAGGCAGCGAAATATGCTTTGAATTGTTACCAGACTTGTGTCCAACCTAATACCAATTAAAAAAAAATGGTATTATGAAAAATTTATATTTTAAAAAAATTCCATTTCACTTTCTAAATCAGTGGTTCTCAACTAGGGCTGCACGATAAATCGCATGCGATATTTAACGCGCATCTTGTCAGTAAAGCCGGTTCTGTAATCATCGGTAAATTTCCATCACCTGCAGGCTTTCACATTGAGTAGCATTAACTACACAGAGCCGTTGTTCACTGACGAGCTGCGCAAAAAATCACGCGAATATGAACGTGGTTTTGCGCAGCTCGTCAGTGAACAACGGCTCTGTGTAGTTAATGCTACTCAATGTGAAAGCCTGCAGGTGATGGAAATTTACCGATGATTACAGAACCGGCTTTACTGACAAGATGCGCGTTAAATATCGCATGCGATTTATCGTGCAGCCCTATTCTCAACCAAGGGATAGGGCTCACTAAGGGGCATTAGCAAAATTCTTTGTGGCTCCAATTATCATAATCTAAAATCAAATGCTTAAAAAATGGCTGTACAAGATTAAACTGACATTACATTTTTGACTTTATTTTTGTTACAACAGGAGTACCAGAGGTACAAATCAGATTAGATAGGGCCTTCAAATGTTGTCTTGGACAAACAGGGCATCTTGGAGACAAAAAGGTTGTGAACCACTATTCTAAACTGTATTATTAAGGTTATTGTCAATCAATGTCATTGTTATAGTAAAATTAATTACTACCATTCCATCAGTTACTGTTCACAATCAATCAATAATATGAAAAAGAATAAGTTACTACATAGGCACATGGCATGTGCAGTATTATAGACTATATTGCTGAAGTATGTGGACAACTATTATTTAAAGCATGTGACTAATGCAGCCGAAATTTCAACAAACATTTTAGTAGAATTGGGCCTGTTCACAAAGCAAGGTCCATACTGAAACAATTTACTGAGTCTGATGGGGAAGAATTTGCCTGGCCTGCACAATGCCCAAGTCCATTGACCACCTTTGAGATGAATTGGAACCTCAGGTATAAACCAGGCTCCATCACCCATCACCTGACCTCACTTATATTCTGTTGATTGAATGGGATCAAATCCCCAAGCCACGTTTCCCAGAAGAGTGAAAGCTATTATAGCAGCAAACTCCCTATTGAAGCCAGTGACTTTGAAATATTTGGGTGTCCACATACTTTTGGCCATCTGAATTGGTGGTCTACATCCTATAGGGTTTCATGGTTGTTGCTTGGTGACATACTACACTATTTGTCTGGGCAGCAGTAGTACATATTACCTGGCACAAACTCCTAGAAACTTAACCAAGATGGATGGCCAACATGAAGCAATAAAGCTGATGGCATGATTTTTCCGCTTGGGAAACAGTGGTGTGTTGGGTTTGGAGTGGGCTAGTGATTAATGAGAAAGACTTTGTTGTGTTTGTGTCACTAGGGGTTCTTCAGACGCTTGGCCTTCCAGCAGCCAAGTGCTACACCTTCCATTGGGACAAGGATAATTTTGGTAGGACACTGAATCCAAGCCAGTCCCATTTTTTTCTGCCATGGGCTTATTCAAACATTTGTTTGGCTGTTTTGGAATTATAAACATTCAAAGATTGATTTCCAGTCACTTTGATTTAGTTTAAAATGTCATTAGGGGGTTTCATGAGTTGAAAGTTAATACCCCAGCTAATAATAACCCTCTGAGTCACGATTTTCCATCTTGTTTTTTGCTAGATGTTCTAAACGACCTTCTAGACATGGAGTCTGAATTTACCTTATCTCAAACATCTGAGGGCATGGAGGAGGAGGATGTTGACAATGTGGATGTGGAAGATGATGAATATGAGGACTTGGAGGAAGGTTTTGTATCAAACGGTTGCACTGACTATAGGGCCTCAACCTTCTCTACTGTCTCCTCCCTTTCCACGGCCTCCAAAGACTCCATGTTCTCAACTCTCTCAGTCGCTTCCTCTGAATGCTCTCCACTCTCCACACTCTCATCCTCATCTCAAGCTTCAGGCACTGACAGTGACTTCTGTGAGGATGCAGAAGAGGACTGTCTGAGCATAGCATCTGTGCCTAAGTCCAAAACTGGCGCACGACTTTCCAAGCGCCTCTCACGACTCTTCAAACCTCGCAGCCACTCTCTGTGTCGAGCTAAAAGCCTGGGTAGCCCTGAAGCTAAAGAATTAGTGATAGCTGTCCGCTCTAAGAGATCCAATTCTCTGCCACAGCATGTGCAACTGCGGAGCTCTGAGTTAGGGTTCCCAGCTCCCCCCCTCTCACAGCTGCAATATGTTTGCTATAGGAGAAGACCCATTCTGAGTACTGACGATATGGAAGGGCCACCAGGGGCCACAATGCTCAGAGTGGTGGTGTTTGGGGCAGATCATGTGGCAGGGAGACTCGCCCGTGCTTATGGCAGCCTGAGAAAAAGAGAAAGAGACTGTCCACACCTGACCAAAGCTTTCAGGATGAAGTTTTTCTTTGTGCCTGTGAGGAGAGATAAAACTCCAGCCAACTTCTCCATGAGGAACTCTGGTTCTTCTCTGCAGCTGTCAGTGAGTCCACTGAAACCAGCCGTCTCTAGCACTGTGAGTGAAATCATGTCCCTTGAGCCTAAAGTATACTTCGGTTTTTGAGTGTATGCTAAGGTATGTGTATAGTGCGTGTGATGTACATGTCGTCACCAGCAAAATATACACATAGCTACATTTTTCTAACTGCACATAATCTGTACACTTTTTTTTTTTGCATTGAGTAGTTAGTCCACCAGGTGGCAACACCAATAATTGTGTAAATTATGTGAAGTGGTTAAGCTATATCCGCAACTCTAATTTAAAAGACATTTTCTAGACAACTTCTAGTTTAAAAATAATTTTTTCTCATTCGTAACTGTTGTAGAGAAATAGCACAGACTTTGGACAAAGATGACACTTACTAGCATGCACGTGTTGCCTTCCTGTGTTTGCGCGTGAAAATGGGGTATATTTAGATTATGCCTTCGGCTGTACACGTGCTTAGTTTTCACATCAAAACTGGAGTATACTTTGGGCTTTAAGTTTTGTTCATCATTTATTTTTCAAATCTGAGGTTTAGGACTGAATCACTGTCTACAAAAATCTGATCCGTTTGTGCAAACAGGCTGCTCCACTTCTATAAAGGGCCAATTCCCATTCTGTACAATTGTACTGAAATGACAGCAACGACCAAATTCATTTACGAAAAAATCACATAGTGACAACTGAATATGTGAAAAGTTTAAATGTGAAAAGTTTGTACCAAACTGGACTGAACAGCTAATTTTTAATGAAGCATGCATCAGAGATGTGTGTTCCTCTTCTCCAAGCAATTCACAGGGAGAGAAGTATGTGTCTTGACTCATTCTAGCATTAACTACACAGAGCCGTTGTTCACTGACGAGCTGCGCAAAAAATCACGCGAATATGAACGTGGTTTTGCGCAGCTCGTCAGTGAACAACGGCTCTGTGTAGTTAATGCTGCTCAATGTGAAAGCCCGCAGGTGATGGAGATTTACCGCTGATTACAGAACCGGCTTTCTGACAAGATGTGCGTTAAATATCGCATGCGATTTATCGTGCAGCCCTATTCTCAACCAAGGGATAGGGCTCACTAAGGGGCATTAGCAAAATTCTTTGTGGCTCCAATTATCATAATCTAAAATCAAATGCTTAAAAAATGGCTGTACAAGATTAAACTGACATTACATTTTTGACTTTATTTTTGTTACAACAGGAGTACCAGAGGTACAAATCAGATTAGATAGGGCCTTCAAATGTTGTCTTGGACAAACAGGGCATCTTGGAGACAAAAAGGTTGTGAACCACTATTCTAAACTGTATTATTAAGGTTATTGTCAATCAATGTCATTGTTATAGTAAAATTAATTACTACCATTCCATCAGTTACTGTTCACAATCAATCAATAATATGAAAAAGAATAAGTTACTACATAGGCACATGGCATGTGCAGTATTATAGACTATATTGCTGAAGTATGTGGACAACTATTATTTAAAGCATGTGACTAATGCAGCCGAAATTTCAACAAACATTTTAGTAGAATTGGGCCTGTTCACAAAGCAAGGTCCATACTGAAACAATTTACTGAGTCTGATGGGGAAGAATTTGCCTGGCCTGCACAATGCCCAAGTCCATTGACCACCTTTGAGATGAATTGGAACCTCAGGTATAAACCAGGCTCCATCACCCATCACCTGACCTCACTTATATTCTGTTGATTGAATGGGATCAAATCCCCAAGCCACGTTTCCCAGAAGAGTGAAAGCTATTATAGCAGCAAACTCCCTATTGAAGCCAGTGACTTTGAAATATTTGGGTGTCCACATACTTTTGGCCATCTGAATTGGTGGTCTACATCCTATAGGGTTTCATGGTTGTTGCTTGGTGACATACTACACTATTTGTCTGGGCAGCAGTAGTACATATTACCTGGCACAAACTCCTAGAAACTTAACCAAGATGGATGGCCAACATGAAGCAATAAAGCTGATGGCATGATTTTTCCGCTTGGGAAACAGTGGTGTGTTGGGTTTGGAGTGGGCTAGTGATTAATGAGAAAGACTTTGTTGTGTTTGTGTCACTAGGGGTTCTTCAGACGCTTGGCCTTCCAGCAGCCAAGTGCTACACCTTCCATTGGGACAAGGATAATTTTGGTAGGACACTGAATCCAAGCCAGTCCCATTTTTTTCTGCCATGGGCTTATTCAAACATTTGTTTGGCTGTTTTGGAATTATAAACATTCAAAGATTGATTTCCAGTCACTTTGATTTAGTTTAAAATGTCATTAGGGGGTTTCATGAGTTGAAAGTTAATACCCCAGCTAATAATAACCCTCTGAGTCACGATTTTCCATCTTGTTTTTTGCTAGATGTTCTAAACGACCTTCTAGACATGGAGTCTGAATTTACCTTATCTCAAACATCTGAGGGCATGGAGGAGGAGGATGTTGACAATGTGGATGTGGAAGATGATGAATATGAGGACTTGGAGGAAGGTTTTGTATCAAACGGTTGCACTGACTATAGGGCCTCAACCTTCTCTACTGTCTCCTCCCTTTCCACGGCCTCCAAAGACTCCATGTTCTCAACTCTCTCAGTCGCTTCCTCTGAATGCTCTCCACTCTCCACACTCTCATCCTCATCTCAAGCTTCAGGCACTGACAGTGACTTCTGTGAGGATGCAGAAGAGGACTGTCTGAGCATAGCATCTGTGCCTAAGTCCAAAACTGGCGCACGACTTTCCAAGCGCCTCTCACGACTCTTCAAACCTCGCAGCCACTCTCTGTGTCGAGCTAAAAGCCTGGGTAGCCCTGAAGCTAAAGAATTAGTGATAGCTGTCCGCTCTAAGAGATCCAATTCTCTGCCACAGCATGTGCAACTGCGGAGCTCTGAGTTAGGGTTCCCAGCTCCCCCCCTCTCACAGCTGCAATATGTTTGCTATAGGAGAAGACCCATTCTGAGTACCGATGATGTGGAAGGGCCACCAGGGGCCACAATGCTCAGAGTGGTGGTGTTTGGGGCAGATCATGTGGCAGGGAGACTCGCCCGTGCTTATGGCAGCCTGAGAAAAAGAGAAAGAGACTGTCCACACCTGACCAAAGCTTTCAGGATGAAGTTTTTCTTTGTGCCTGTGAGGAGAGATAAAACTCCAGCCAACTTCTCCATGAGGAACTCTGGTTCTTCTCTGCAGCTGTCAGTGAGTCCACTGAAACCAGCCGTCTCTAGCACTGTGAGTGAAATCATGTCCCTTGAGCCTAAAGTATACTTCGGTTTTTGAGTGTATGCTAAGGTATGTGTATAGTGCGTGTGATGTACATGTCGTCACCAGCAAAATATACACATAGCTACATTTTTCTAACTGCACATAATCTGTACACTTTTTTTTTTTTGCATTGAGTAGTTAGTCCACCAGGTGGCAACACCAATAATTGTGTAAATTATGTGAAGTGGTTAAGCTATATCCGCAACTCTAATTTAAAAGACATTTTCTAGACAACTTCTAGTTTAAAAATAATTTTTTCTCATTCGTAACTGTTGTAGAGAAATAGCACAGACTTTGGACAAAGATGACACTTACTAGCATGCACGTGTTGCCTTCCTGTGTTTGCGCGTGAAAATGGGGTATATTTAGATTATGCCTTCGGCTGTACACGTGCTTAGTTTTCACATCAAAACTGGAGTATACTTTGGGCTTTAAGTTTTGTTCATCATTTATTTTTCAAATCTGAGGTTTAGGACTGAATCACTGTCTACAAAAATCTGATCCGTTTGTGCAAACAGGCTGCTCCACTTCTATAAAGGGCCAATTCCCATTCTGTACAATTGTACTGAAATGACAGCAACGACCAAATTCATTTACGAAAAAATCACATAGTGACAACTGAATATGTGAAAAGTTTAAATGTGAAAAGTTTGTACCAAACTGGACTGAACAGCTAATTTTTAATGAAGCATGCATCAGAGATGTGTGTTCCTCTTCTCCAAGCAATTCACAGGGAGAGAAGTATGTGTCTTGACTCATTCTTAAAGGGATCATATGACAATGCTTAAAATAACATTATTTTGTGCATTTGGTGTAATGCAATGTGTTTCCACGGTTTAATGTTCAAAAACACATTATTTTCCACATTACATTATTGTTGCTCCTCTCTGCCCTGCTGTTCTGAAATGCTTTAATTTTTACAAAGCTCATCGTTTTGAAAAGCGAGGTGTGCTCTAATTGGCCAGCTATCCAGTGTGTTGTGATTGGTTGTTGTGATTCCTCAAGCATGTGACGGAAATGTTATGCCCCTAACACACAGCGTCTCCATGACATGGCGGTGGTGGCAACAATACTAAAGTGAGAATAAAAGTTATGCCTTCTTTCTTTGCGTAAACATTTGGCCTGTGTTATGCAAATCATCCAACACAGTGACGTAGATTGGTGGGGGGTGTGTTTAAACAAGGCGTTTTAGGAAGGCATGGATAAATCTTAACTTTTATAAAGAATATATATTAATTTAGGTTTGAGACTTTAGTCTTTGCAACTTTACGGATCTTATATATGAACAAACAGCTTGGAAAAGTCCAAAGACAAAGGAAAACTTGAAATCGCATCATATGACCCCTTTAAATTTTGTCACAGGTGTGTCTTTCTCCACGATAGTGGCTCTCACGTGCCCTTTATTTAATGCGAGTACTAAATTCCCTAATATTAATTTTGGTCAAACGTAGCTAACAACAAACTGCTTCAACTGCCATTCATCTTACTTGCTTGTAGCCGCAAACCATTTCTGTAGTTATCACTACGTCAATCATTACAGTTTCACATGTGGTTCCTGTATCCCGTACACACTTAGAATCACAATTCACTCCCACATTTAAATGTGTTTATCACTCCCAAAACCATTAGTGTGTACTGGCCGCATTGTTTAATTGGATTTCAACCTACATCTCTGATGGTTAATCTATGTATCCCGCCTGGCTAAGCTGGATGGATTGGTCTCTTTTGGTGGTTCTAGTGGAGTTTTGGGCATTTTTTCACAGCTGGTCACAAGCTAAATACTAACTTTACTAGGCTGGGAAACAACTAGACCAAACAAACAAACAAAAAAACTTTAAATTAAAATGATCTAAGATTTCAGTAGCCATATGCATGTGGATTTTCGCTCCTGGTCTGAGCTAACGTTAGGTCCCAAATAAACAAATAATAATAAAAGTCCTGCATTACTTGCACACACTGAAGTCAAAGCACAGATTTTGTTTTCTCATGTAAGATTTTGAAACAGAAACATTGGTATTAATTTGTCAGCAGGATCTCAGTATGAATGGGACGGAGGACAGCACTAATGACATAGCCAATCTTCTGGGAATGCTGGATCCCTGGTATGAGCGGAACACTCGGAGCCTGCTGGAGCTTCCCGTTAATGTGTTGTGCCAGGTGATTCTTTCACATCCACACAGACTCATTCACATGAACAGAGAGTGCATGCATATCTAAATCAGTAAGAACAACAGTAAATCTTTTGTTATATGGCATGCTTTTGACACTGCATGCACGCACACAAAAAAACCACATCCCATAAAACCACTCATATGAGGAACTTGAGTGTGTGAAAGTGTGTTTTGAATTGTTTTGATTATCCCCATGGCCAGCAAAAAAAAACATTTCCTTATCAAATTACTGATGAAAACTATATTCACACCAAATGTTCTGTCCATAACAGCAAACATCCAAGATTGAGTCAGACCTGTCTGAGGGTGCTGGTGAGGAGCGTTTACCGATATTTGCTGACCTGGTGCTCTATTACTGCCGTCATGCCGCCCGCCCTGCCCTCATTCAGCTCTATCAAGCAGAGGTGAATAAAAAAACATGCTATTTCCTCAGTCTAGCAGTTTCGGTCATAGACTTTAAAACTGTACCTTAAAAGTTACATAGACTTTGGAGTTATGAATCTATTATGTCTTACAGTGTGTCAGGCAATATGCGGGGCACCTTTCTTCAATGTGCTATGGATTCTGTGTTTTCATTCAAATTTGCTAGTTTAACTACAAAAATTGTTTAAGACAGGCTATATTCCTACAAATATAATAATGTAAGTTATTTTAGTGCTCTATGAAATCTACATGCATTTTTAGAGGTTGCTTGGTGTTAGCTAATGACACTACAGTATTTCATTCATCTTTTCTGCACTGTTTTGTAACTTGTCTTGCATCTTATACTGCCATAATGTAATCCAGTGGTTTCACAAAAGTTTAAATCTTACTCTTGGTTGTAGTTGACACTAGCTGGAGGAGAGAGACGGACTGAAGTGTTTGTTCACTCTCTGGAGCTCGGACACACAGCTGGTACAAGAGCCATCAAGGCCATGGGTGAGTGTGAACAAACACCAGCATGTCAGATCAGTTTTTTTTCCACTGTGAAACTATCAAAGCAATCACCAGGATCATTTTATTTTTTTAATATGTTCTTATATATGTTTTTACTGTTTACTGTGTGCATGTCCCGTTTCTCTGTAAACCCTGAAAAATCACCCTTCCCTGATGCTGTCTGCAGCGTTTTTTATATGGAGGTCAAAGCAGCGCATGACAAAGTACTGTGATAATTGATTTGCTGACATAAGTCATGAAATAAGTCGTGCGAAAGAGCCTTTAGCATGTCTATTTTTCTTCACATGTTATCCTTGTGCAGCTTGCTGTTGTTTGCAGAAAGTTTTTTTTTTTTTTGTGCTAGCAGGTTTTCACTTCTCAGAAGTTATTTTGGGTGAACAGAAGCAGCTATAAAATTCAGACTAACAAAAAATGTTTATAACATTTTTTTTTTAAATGAATAAGGAACATTTCAGATCCTGTTCTGTATTTTGCAGTAGCTAAGGTCACTCACTACTTTTCTAAAAAAATCAAATCTGTTCTTATTTTTCAGGTGCTGCAAGTAAGAGATTTGGCATTGATGGAGACCGTGAGGCTGTTCCTTTATCACTTGAAGTTACTTACAATCGAGTAAGACGAACTATTCCAGTGTTTGGATGAATTTTTTAATGGTGCAGGCATGCAATTCTCATTCGTCCCCTCTCTTTTTTGTCTTTACATACAGATACATATCAGTGGCAGAAGTCAGAAGACAAGGGCAGAGAAGTCTTGCACCTCTATAAACCTGCTAAAAGCCTGCAGAAATCTTGAGGAACTAGGTAGAAGATAACTGTGACAGAACTATGATGAGATGTTGATTAGGGCTGTCAATTGTTTACATTTGAATGTAATAAATTGCATAAAAATAAATAACACAATGGCATTGAAATTATGATCAACTTACTCAACATTGGGCTAACAGGCTTAACGTCATAAACATATTTGCTCAGGCTCAAAAAATATTACTGCCTTCTCAACACAAAAGAGCCATTTCAATGTGTAGGCCTAAAATGATCAAAGGGATATTTACAAAATATTATAAACTTTTCTTTTTCTTTAGATTCGAAAATGGAGTGCCTTCATTTGACAATGACAGAAGTGCTAAAGAGACAAAACTCTAAATCAAAGAAAGGCTACAATCAGGTGAGCAGGAAGGAAGTATGGGAGAAAACTGAGATGTGGTTTAAACAGCCCCGAAACTAACTTAGCGCAAACACCTACAGTTACTCTCATGTGGTTTTTGCAGCAGTGTGTAGCAGTCGGCAAACAACAACATTTTTTACCAAGAGCAAACATTTTGGTATTTATTTACCTGTTTCTGTACCGGTTTACACGATATGGCTCATGTGTGTCTGTTGTACTTTCATTTTTACAGTGTCGGTGGTTACTCTTTGGTTCAGTTATACCACACACTGACTGTACTTCATCTTGTTTTGTTGCCATTTGAAAAGAAAATATACTGTTGTTTACAAATTTGTTTAAAGGGGTCATATGATGCGATTTAAATTTGTCCTTTCTCTTTGGAGTGTTACAAGCTCTTGGTGCATAAAGAAGATCTGTAAAGTTGCAAAGACTAAAGTCTCAAATCCAAAGAGATATTCTTTATAACAGTTAAGAGTCAACCACTCCTACCTAAAACGGCTCGTTCTAACACGCCCCCACATGTCTACGTCACGATGTGGGAAGATTTGCATAACGCCGCCCAAATGTCCACGCAAAAAAGAAGGCGTAACTTTAATTCTTGCTGTTGCCGCCGCTGCCATGTTGGGGAGTCGCTGTGAGTTTCGTTGTGAAAGCGAAACTACTTTGTTTGGGCTCCCAAAAGAGGACACAACTAGAAATCAGTGGTTAAGTGGTATTTACAGCACTGTTCCAGAACAGTTCAAACCAAATATTCAGATGTGTGCATTTTATGGAGGGCGAGGACTGTTTACTGAACCAGTAGCCTACAATGCGTCTGTGGCACAAAGGCTGTTTCTATAAAGTTGGGCAGTTCCAACTTTGCAAGGACAGTCTGGCGCATCTGACTCACAGCCTGTAAGTACGTTTTCATATTTAAATAATTTGCCACTGACGATTCAAACGCGAGTTTTGAGCAGTGTAGAGTAGCACTTGTTGTTTGT